ACAGGAGCCGGACTGCCAGCCGCTACGCTACCACAAGATTGTGGCGGGGAACGCCCTCGCGCACGGCGCGCAGGGGGCGCGCGGCGGGCTCCTGGGAGCGTGCCCGGACTGCGGCGCTGCTCCATTCGGCCGCCGGGCCCCGCGGAGCCCCCGATCCGTGCAGCGAGGCTCCGGCGCGAGACAGGTGCCTGCGACACTGCAGGGGTAGCGTAGCGGCTGGCAGTCCGGCTCCTGTGCTAGCCTACGGCGGGAGGCCGGCACTGGAGCAGCAGAGCAGAGGCAGAGACGGGAGTCGGACCCGCGGCCCCAACGGAGGAACCCGGGGTGAGTACGCACCCCGGCCTACCTCCAGAGAGCGACAGGCACAGATGCCCTGGGCACGGACGGACGCACGCAGTCCCTCTTCTTGCGCCCGGCATCCAGGGCCCCTCACACTCCGTGCGTCTGCACCCCCGCACCGCTCTGGCACAGCAACGCGGGACACAGAGCACGCCGGGCGCCCTTCCCCGGCCCAGCCACTCCGCGCACTGCGCATCGCCTGGTGCCGGCTCGCCCGGCCCCCGTGTGCACACACGCGGTTCACCCCGCTGTTTACACGCCTCCCCTGAGCCCGCACAACATACACACCCCTCACTTTCACACTCGGCACCCTGGATGTCCTAACTGCCTATGCCCTGGCCTTACATCCTTCTGGGAGGGGGGTCCCTGGTCAGGCCCCCCAACTTCCAGTCCCCGGATATGCTGAGGAGTGTGAGAATCTGCAGGAACTGTCAACATCGCAGGGGGCGCGTCGCATTTATCTCTCGGAGGCCTGGGAAGGAAGGCTGCGGGAAGAGCCTAAGGGGACCTTTAGCTTCTTCGAGGCTATCTGTAGACTGGGGCTGAACATGGATGGGGGCAGCAAACGGCACTGTGGGTGAAGGGGCCCTGAGCCTCTCTCTTTGGTGGCCAAGGTGCTGCTAAGTGACTGGGTCTCCCCTTACAGTCGGTGAGTCCCCTTACAGTCGGTAGGGAAGAACCTGGGAAACTTGCACCTGGGAAACCCGTTGTGCTGGGTTTAAAGAGCCGCAGGAGCAGCGGTCCCTCTGATTAGACAGGAGGGAAGGAAATCTGAGGTTCCACAAGGGAAGGAGACCCACCTAGGTCTTAACACAGCCTGCCCAAAGCGCAGGCCTTTAATCCCAGCACTTGGGAGGCAGAGGCAGACTGGTCTCTGTTAGTTCGAGGTCAGCCTGGTCTACAAGATCGAGTTCCAGGACAGACTCCAAAGCTACAGAGAAACCCTGTCTCAAAAAACAACAACAACAAAAAAAACCCACAGCCCACCCAGTAAGGCCAGGAGATGAACAATCATCCCCCAGCCCCCACCCCACCCCTGTCTCCCATCCTCACGGTGTAATCAGAAATCTTTCTCAAGCAGCCCTGAAGAGTGGGCACTCCCAGCCTAGAGTCTAATCCTGACCTCAACCTACTAAATGCTTGTTAATGACCCTGGGCAAGTCACTTCTCACACTTGGCAAAGCTGGAGGGGGCTTCAGCTGCTGGGCCGGG